TTTACGGGATGACCTCACTGCCCTTCAGGAACCATTGTCCCTCCTTGTAGGAATGCGTAAGGGCCAAAATTGGGAGAAGTTAGACCTTGCTAGTTAAGACCTTGCCTATCCACCCTACATGGAGTCACATTATTTCCCATGTGTGTCTCAGCTGGTGCTAGAAAGTCTAAACCAAGTTAAGCTCTTAGATTTTGGGTGCAAACTCCTAAAATGGTCCATTTTCTCTCTCTGGTCTGAGGTGGTGTGTTTGACCACTGCCCAGGTTTATGTTCTCCATCTGCTGGTGGGGCTGTAGATGTAGCGAGCCCCTCTGGGCTACAAACCATCAATCTTGCTGCAGTGAATCGTGTTGAAGTGGACTCACTGCATGGTCCTGTAGTTTTAATCTGAAGAGGTTTCTCAAGAGTCTAGGAGCTCCTGCGTCAGAACACACACGATTGTTTATAGATGAGTAATGTACAGTTCAGTTTCAAATGCACTTCCTACTATGAGGGTGCTTTGGTAAACCAAAGAGGTGTAGAAATGTTTTGTTAGGCAACCTAAAACGTAAAATACCAGGTGGTATTTTCCAATTCTTTTCAGTGAACCGTTTCACAAACAGCACTGAATGATTCATTTGGGAATTCAAATGATTCAGTTGCACCAGTTAAACTTACTGATTCAGTAATCCAGTTTGAGCACATCTTAAGCTAACAAATCCCTTAATTGGTCTTGTCTGACTAGAAACGAGCCAAGAATTGAGAGTAATCCTCAAAGCTTGAATATGCTGACTCCTAATAATTCATAATAATGTCAGACTGGACTCTAACCAGTATTTAATATGACTGAATAAACTTGACTACATTTGGTTACACCAATTAAATTAAATTAGAAGGTCAGATTCAGGGCTTGAATTTATATGGCCTGGAGGACAACAAGGCTTTTTACAGTTTACATTTGTGAATGTGGGAGTATGTAGGAGTGAAAATGAAACACACCCAACTCCCTGAGAAATCAGGAGGAATTCTCGTAGTTCACATGCAGCTGAGTGTTCAAATGCCTCTGCACAGGTTTTCTTTCCATTCTTGCTTCTGTTAGAAGATAGAAATTGCGGGCTTTGTGGTGCTTCAAAAAACAGGTGTTTGGGCCTCTTTCTTCACAAACACTTGAGTTTGTGAAGGAAATTACAGAGCAAAGATCCTTACAAAAAACAAGGCATCCCATCCCTGTCTGTCTCAACTTTATAGACTCTACCTTTCTCGGACTTTTTAACAGCAGGAAAAAACGACCCTTAAATTACTATCGGCTAAATTGGGGAACAAATATTTCTCTTCAATCAAGAATGATTCACTTGTTTTTCACACTCTAGATTTATGCCTTAAACAGCATCCACTCCGCTTTTCCTGATCATGACCCTCCTGCTCCAAAAGTGAGACTAGCTATTTGTACATTGGAAAATATAAATAGCACTATCAGCATGGCTTAATAGTACCAGAGAGGGCCTTGTAAGAGCTGGCTATCTGTAGGATTTGAGTGACAGGGGCTGGAATTAGTCCTCGGAACCCTCCAGAGTTCTCCCACAAACATGCCCTCTATTGTTGTTTATGTTCCATTCCATTCCCCCTCCACCACAATGTTCCAAGAATCTCAAATGTCACACTGAGGCAAGAATATCCTCTTAGATACATTTAAAATCAGATGTGCACACACACAGCGCTTCATCAAAACTGGCATTCATCTCTCGGATCACACAGAGCAGCTCTCTGTTTGCTCTTGCAGTAACAATGCTCAACTCCTATTTTACTCACCATCAAATCACTCCGAGATTATATACAATACAACCTTGTGATTATCCAAAGAAAAATCTTCCTTTATGCACCCCAGCATTGCACAGGCAGGCTGCCAGAATGCTGGGGAAATACTTATTTTGCCGTAGAGGGACATTTAGACTCGCATGAAAGGTTTTCTGTGTGGGGAGTCCATTGTCTGAGCGGACTGTACATAGTAACCGCATTTAGAGGCATTCGAAGATTCCTCAAGGCCTTTTCTTGTTTACTGTGTCTCTGAAGGGGCTGCATTCAGTCCTCTAGTGGTCTGTTTTGAATAGTCTGAGAGACGACACTGTTGTCAAAAGCACCCTTATTGTGTTTGAGTGTCCTCAGTTATGGAGGAACAGCATGTACAAGAGACGAGTGACCCTCCCTGAGGACAAAAGGATGGACTGTCCAATTTTTTTTTTCCTCTTGTGTGTGGCTAGAGGACTTGTTGGGCTGAACAACTAAACTGCCATGTTGATGATAATTGATATTGAAAATAGTCTTTTAAACGAATCAGTTGAACCAGTTCACAGCAATAGCATTAAATGATTCAGTTGTGAATTTGACTGATTGTAGCCGTTAACAACTCAATGATCTGTTCAAGACCAGATAGCAATGTCCATTTGAATTGTTTCACAAATAACATTAATTCGTTAATTTGTGAATTTGACTCAATTATCTGCTTGAGACTTGCTCTGAGACCCAGTGGCTATGTCCGATATCTGAATGAATCACCGATTCTTTTCCTCGAATTCATTATTGACATTAATAACATTAATTCATTTGTGAATTTGAAAACGGATTCGTTTACAAGTAAGGCACAATTCGATGCAGGGTTGTCAAAAAAGATTGAAACTAAAAGACAATGCTGTTCCGATTATATTGGATCTGACAGTAATGCCGCACCACACAAGTGTGAGTAACGTTAACTGTTTTTATTACGTGGTCACTATTGCTTTGTCTGTTAAACAGATCGTTTGATGAGTTATTTATGCATTTTTGACCTAAATCACTGCAGCGTCCATCTGTGAAGGACGTAGACTGTCAAACATGCACAACTATTAGCCAATCATAGCAGTGGGCGTTCACTTCAGAGTCTACAATCCATCACGCCTATTCATACAGAGCGTTCTGATGAGGGGGGTCAAAAACAGGACAGAAAATAGCCTATTTCTCAGTGGCTATGTCCGTGCCCAGTGGCTAATCACCGATTCTTTTCAATAATTCAGTTGAACCAGTTAAAAAAAACATTAATTAATTTGTGAATTTGACTGATCCATTTCAGCTGATCTGATTGCATCAGCCATCAAGTCAGCAATTCAATAATCTGTTTGAAACCAGATAGTTCAATCTGTGAATATATCATTCTTTTGAGGCCAGCAACTCACTGATCTGCTCCGAAACCTGATGGCATTGTCAGATTTGTAAATGAATAATTCTTTCAAGATTAAAGTTGGGCTGAACAGCTAAATTAATATGATGATAGTACTTTAATAGGTTTGAAAAATAAAAGTAAAATAAAAAGTAATGTTATTATAGCAGTGCGATTAATTGATAAATTAAAGATCATCGATTATCAAAATAGTTGTTAGTTGCAGCCTTAGACTAAAGTGCTTTTCCACATGTTCTGTCTCACCTCCCTATTTCCTGCACTTGCTTTATTGCTCCTCTCTATTAATGCAATGACGCATTCTCTGGGATGGGGAATGTGTTGTTCCTGGAGGAAAAAAGAGCAACTGGGGTGAGTGCATGCGGTTCAGTGAACATGAGATGGGTGTGGTTAGATTCCCCCCTACACCTCTTAATTTAGCCCAGGGGCCGAGCAGCAGGTGACCTCTGTGCCAAAATAGTGTCTGAACCAATGCATTTGGAAGGAATTTCAGATACAAACCTTAATGGCTGTAGGCAGTGTTTTTCCAAATTCAGGCTGTGCGAAAATACTATAATACATACCTGCGTGTTCAGCCAGCAAATCAGAGTTGGATACGTTTCATGTTTGGGGTGAATTTTGTCTCCCCCTATCTCCTTTTCTCAATGGGACAGGCAACTGCTCCCCTCCAGCATTCTTTAGATGTGATGTCACCTGGCCCCCAGTTCAATTACTCCTTGAGTCTCACTAGAAAGCTATTTCTCTTTTAAAATGCACTTATTGCGTGCCTAGTTTTTAATCCCTGTGTTTTTGTATTTGCACTCATAAATGAGCACTTCCCGTGCATGAAGACACATTTGTTTGCATATTAGCATGTGTTTGCATGTACTAGTGAGGGTCAGGCTACACACAAAGGAGCTTTTTAAAGCCCATTGGTAAGCTGCCAGGTAATTAATGACAGTGCAAGAGACAACTAAACATGCACAGCCATTCGTTTGGTTTGTTTCCAGGCCTTAAACAACTAGTCCGCCACCCTCTTAGGAGGCAATCTGCTTTTATAATGGTTAGCTCATTGCAGCCAAGGCCAAACATCTGTATCTGTATAAGTATTTGATGGTTGAGGTCTGAAGGAAATGAAGCAAGGCGGTGACCTTCATGTGTCAGCGTGTAACTTCAAGGCACTTATGTTAGCATGTGTTCTTGCATTTAGGTCAGACAGAAGAGTGCATAGAGGGCACAAGTGGCTATTAAAGATTAAAATAGACCAACAAAGCAGCCATATCTATTGATGACCCACATCAGCTCTGATCCAGAGTTTTGATTTATTTTTAAAAGAGACTAGGCTTCTGTAAACATCACTGGACTCCATAGTGATTTCATAGTGAACTCATCAATCAAATGTCTTTGATTAGATTACATCATTCACTTGCTTTAGCAGAATGTGACCTTCTGAAGAACTCATTTGAAGCCACTTTGGCTCTTTTCATGTCTCTGATTAGCGTTTATTGGATAATCACATCATGTGTCTGATGTTCATTACCCTGTTTTGGTGTTTAACAATTTGGGACTGTGCCTCTTGTGAAAGATACTTGTTTTTTAAGGGCTTGTTTTAAAGCTATTTATTTATAACCAATTTATTGATAACCAAAAAATGCTGATATTAAAATTCCACATTGTTTTGTCTAGCAATCGTGTTTAAATGCTACAGATGACTTTAGGCATTACAACATATAATGTACAGTATGAAAAATTTGCTAAAGATTACATTTAACAGTGTTATTAAATTATTAGTCTTTTTAAAGATGAATCATAAATGCTGCTTCTCTCTCTAACAGAGTGTTGAGCGAGATGAGCCCATTGAAGTGGATCCAGCACCAGTTTCCCAAGGCTTGGAGAATGGACACTTATCCTCAACAGGTATTACCCATAATTACTTCTCGAAACCACTCAAAACAAGTCGCAAACTGTGTCTCTGAAGGGGATGCATTCAGTGCTCTAGTGGTCTGTTTTGAATAGTCTGAGAGACGACACTGTTGTCAAAAGCACCCTTATTGTGCTTGAGTGTCCTCAGTTATGGAGGAACAGCATGTACAAGAGGTGAGTGACCCTCCCTGAGGACAAAAGGATGGACTGTCCAATTTTTTTTTCCTCTTGTGTGTGGCTAGAGGACTTGTTGGGCTGAACAACTAAACTTCCATGTTGATGATAATTGATATTGAAAATAGTCTTTTAAACGAATCAGTTGAACCAGTTCACAGCAATAGCATTAAATGATTCAGTTGTGAATTTGACTGATTGTAGCCGTTAACAACTCAATGATCTGTTCAAGACCAGATAGCAATGTCCATTTGAATTGTTTCACAAATAACATTAATTCGTTAATTTGTGAATTTGACTCAATTATCTGCTTGAGACTTGCTCTGAGACCCAGTGGCTATGTCCGATATCTGAATGAATCACCGATTCTTTTCCTCGAATTCATTATTGACATTAATAACATTAATTCATTTGTGAATTTGAAAACGGATTCGTTTACAAGTAAGGCACAATTCGACGCAGGGTTGTCAAAAAAGATTGAAACTAAAAGACAATGCTGTTCCGATTATATTGGATCTGACAGTAATGCCGCACCACACAAGTGTGAGTAACGTTAACTGTTTTTATTACGTGGTCACTATTGCTTTGTCTGTTAAACAGATCGTTTGATGAGTTATTTATGCATTTTTGACCTAAATCACTGCAGCGTCCATCTGTGAAGGACGTAGACTGTCAAACATGCACAACTATTAGCCAATCATAGCAGTGGGCGTTCACTTCAGAGTCTACAATCCATCACGCCTATTCATACAGAGCGTTCTGATGAGGGGGGTCAAAAACAGGACAGAAAATAGCCTATTTCTCAGTGGCTATGTCCGTGCCCAGTGGCTAATCACCGATTCTTTTCAATAATTCAGTTGAACCAGTTAAAAAAAACATTAATTAATTTGTGAATTTGACTGATCCATTTCAGCTGATCTGATTGCATCAGCCATCAAGTCAGCAATTCAATAATCTGTTTGAAACCAGATAGTTCAATCTGTGAATATATCATTCTTTTGAGGCCAGCAACTCACTGATCTGCTCCGAAACCTGATGGCATTGTCAGATTTGTAAATGAATAATTCTTTCAAGATTAAAGTTGGGCTGAACAGCTAAATTAATATGATGATAGTACTTTAATAGGTTTGAAAAATAATCGAATTCATTATTGACATTAATAACATTAATTCATTTGTGAATTTGAAAACGGATTCGTTTACAAGTAAGGCACAATTCGATGCAGGGTTGTCAAAAAAGATTGAAACTAAAAGACAATGCTGTTCCGATTATATTGGATCTGACAGTAATGCCGCACCACACAAGTGTGAGTAACGTTAACTGTTTTTATTACGTGGTCACTATTGCTTTGTCTGTTAAACAGATCGTTTGATGAGTTATTTATGCATTTTTGACCTAAATCACTGCAGCGTCCATCTGTGAAGGACGTAGACTGTCAAACATGCACAACTATTAGCCAATCATAGCAGTGGGCGTTCACTTCAGAGTCTACAATCCATCACGCCTATTCATACAGAGCGTTCTGATGAGGGGGGTCAAAAACAGGACAGAAAATAGCCTATTTCTCAGTGGCTATGTCCGTGCCCAGTGGCTAATCACCGATTCTTTTCAATAATTCAGTTGAACCAGTTAAAAAAAACATTAATTAATTTGTGAATTTGACTGATCCATTTCAGCTGATCTGATTGCATCAGCCATCAAGTCAGCAATTCAATAATCTGTTTGAAACCAGATAGTTCAATCTGTGAATATATCATTCTTTTGAGGCCAGCAACTCACTGATCTGCTCCGAAACCTGATGGCATTATCAGATTTGTAAATGAATAATTCTTTCAAGATTAAAGTTGGGCTGAACAGCTAAATTAATATGATGATAGTACTTTATTAGGTTTGAAAAATAAAAGTAAAATAAAAAGTAATGTTATTATAGCAGTGCGATTAATTGATAAATTAAAGATCATCGATTATCAAAATAGTTGTTAGTTGCAGCCTTAGACTAAAGTGCTTTTCCACATGTTCTGTCTCACCTCCCTATTTCCTGCACTTGCTTTATTGCTCCTCTCTATTAATGCAATGACGCATTCTCTGGGATGGGGAATGTGTTGTTCCTGGAGGAAAAAAGAGCAACTGGGGTGAGTGCATGCGGTTCAGTGAACATGAGATGGGTGTGGTTAGATTCCCCCCTACACCTCTTAATTTAGCCCAGGGGCCGAGCAGCAGGTGACCTCTGTGCCAAAATAGTGTCTGAACCAATGCATTTGGAAGGAATTTCAGATACAAACCTTAATGGCTGTAGGCAGTGTTTTTCCAAATTCAGGCTGTGCGAAAATACTATAATACATGTTCCCTATCACTAAACAGTCACATGTCTGCTGATATCCCCTAGAGAGACTGACACATGACGCAGTCCAGCATTGAAAACCTGCGTGTTCAGCCAGCAAATCAGAGTTGGATACGTTTCATGTTTGGGGTGAATTTTGTCTCCCCCTATCTCCTTTTCTCAATGGGACAGGCAACTGCTCCCCTCCAGCATTCTTTAGATGTGATGTCACCTGGCCCCCAGTTCAATTACTCCTTGAGTCTCACTAGAAAGCTATTTCTCTTTTAAAATGCACTTATTGCGTGCCTAGTTTTTAATCCCTGTGTTTTTGTATTTGCACTCATAAATGAGCACTTCCCGTGCATGAAGACACATTTGTTTGCATATTAGCATGTGTTTGCATGTACTAGTGAGGGTCAGGCTACACACAAAGGAGCTTTTTAAAGCCCATTGGTAAGCTGCCAGGTAATTAATGACAGTGCAAGAGACAACTAAACATGCACAGCCATTCGTTTGGTTTGTTTCCAGGCCTTAAACAACTAGTCCGCCACCCTCTTAGGAGGCAATCTGCTTTTATAATGGTTAGCTCATTGCAGCCAAGGCCAAACATCTGTATCTGTATAAGTATTTGATGGTTGAGGTCTGAAGGAAATGAAGCAAGGCGGTGACCTTCATGTGTCAGCGTGTAACTTCAAGGCACTTATGTTAGCATGTGTTCTTGCATTTAGGTCAGACAGAAGAGTGCATAGAGGGCACAAGTGGCTATTAAAGATTAAAATAGACCAACAAAGCAGCCATATCTATTGATGACCCACATCAGCTCTGATCCAGAGTTTTGATTTATTTTTAAAAGAGACTAGGCTTCTGTAAACATCACTGGACTCCATAGTGATTTCATAGTGAACTCATCAATCAAATGTCTTTGATTAGATTACATCATTCACTTGCTTTAGCAGAATGTGACCTTCTGAAGAACTCATTTGAAGCCACTTTGGCTCTTTTCATGTCTCTGATTAGCGTTTATTGGATAATCACATCATGTGTCTGATGTTCATTACCCTGTTTTGGTGTTTAACAATTTGGGACTGTGCCTCTTGTGAAAGATACTTGTTTTTTAAGGGCTTGTTTTAAAGCTATTTATTTATAACCAATTTATTGATAACCAAAAAATGCTGATATTAAAATTCCACATTGTTTTGTCTAGCAATCGTGTTTAAATGCTACAGATGACTTTAGGCATTACAACATATAATGTACAGTATGAAAAATTTGCTAAAGATTACATTTAACAGTGTTATTAAATTATTAGTCTTTTTAAAGATGAATCATAAATGCTGCTTCTCTCTCTAACAGAGTGTTGAGCGAGATGAGCCCATTGAAGTGGATCCAGCACCAGTTTCCCAAGGCTTGGAGAATGGACACTTATCCTCAACAGGTATTACCCATAATTACTTCTCGAAACCACTCAAAACAAGTCGAACACAACAGAAACAAGCCACAACACAACGGAAATAAGCCACAACACAACAAAATTAGCAAAACACAACAGAAACAAGCCGCAACACAACAAAATTAGCAAAACACAACAGAAACAAGCCACAACACAACGAAAACAAGCCACAACACAACGATATTAGCAAAACACAACAGAAACAAGCCTCATCACAATGGAAACAAGCCACAACACAATGAAATTAGTCCTATGCGTTGTGTGGTGGCAATAAACATCATGGCATGTAATAGAAAATTTGAAAAGACTGTTGTTTAAATTTATTTCAGCATAAACACACATCATTAGACAGGTAAAGTAAATGCAGGTGAAAATAATGTAGTTAATATAATTAAAATTCAACTAAAAAGTTGCATGGATATGTACTGTAACAGAACAGTCAATATACTTTAAGCGATCCCTATACCACAACCATAAAAGTTGATAACCACACAAAATATAGCATTGGAATTACTGTGAGAAAGATTTTTTCCAACTGATGAATGATCAAAATCCACACAACTTTAAAGAGATCGAACTTTTAATGTGGCAGAGAACAGAACTGCAGAGTGCACTTAAAATAAACATAACATTATCGTACACTGGTGTAAAAACAAAAATAGGTATTAGTATGAATGGCACATTATACTTCTTCAATTGAGACTAATTGACCACAATCCATCATCTCTCCAATCAGAAAACTCCACTATGCCTTTGAGGAGAATCTCGCCACCCAACGGTGTGTCACAGGAGCACTCAGCCCCTGTTTCGATGGCGATGCCACACCTGCCAATCACAGCAACCACCAAAGTGGCTGACTCAGCAGTTATGAAAAGTCCTGAGTCACCTGGTAGCCCAATGCAAGCCACGCCGTCAGCCATAACAGATTCACTGACAAACAGTCAGCCGGTCACCAGTAATAACCAGCCACAACTAGAGTCTCCTGTTCATGCAGGTATGACTATTACAACTTCACAAATTGAGGCTACAGATGAGTCTTTGTCTTTCTGCTGTCATTTCCTAAATGTGTGTGTTGGTCTTGTGGTTGCAGTTTCGTCTGTGAAAACATGGGCTCCGAATCCTGCCAGGACTATGGGCTCTCCACGGCTTAGTGGTAGGACAAATTCAACCGTTCTCTGTGACTCATATATACAGCAGTGCTTTTATCATAAAGTCTGTCTCATTGTTTGTGTTGCTACATGTTTGGTCTTACAGAGAAAGCATCTTCGGCTCCAGCCAAGTCAGTGACTTACTCTGGGCTTTTCCCACACAGTACAGACAGGTGGGTCGAGTGTGAATATGTCTAAGTGCAAATAAAGGTTTCCACTGAGCCAGATAGTCTTGGTAACACTTTACAATGAAGTTGCATTTGTTATCAGTAGTACATTAGTTATCATAAACCGTGAACAAGCCATTTTTTGTATATCATTTATTTATCTTGGTTAATGTTAATATCTATATACACTACCATTTAAAAAATACCTTTATTCAGCAAAGATGCATCACATCAAAAGTGACAGTAAAGATATGTATAATGTTACAAAAGCTTTTGAACTTTTATATTCGTCAATGAATCCTGAAAAAATAAACTATCACAGTTTTCACAAAAATATTGCGCAGCACAGTAATATGGAATGAGCATGTGACTCTGAAGACTAGAGTAATGGCTATTGAAAATTCAGCTTTGCCATCACATGAATAAATTAATTACATTTTAAAATATATAAAAAAATAGAAAACAGTTATTGTAATAATATTTCACAATATTACTGTTTTTACTGTTTTAAATCAAATAAATGTAGGTTTGGTTAGCATAAAAGGCTTCTTTTAAAAACATATTAAAATATATATATTACCGATTCCAAACTTTTGAACAGTGTATACTAAAGCATTTATTAACACTTCAAGTTGTATAAAATAACATGATGTATTGAGAACAAACGTGAAATAACAATGGAGAGTAGTATATTTATAAATTAGCATTAACTTAGATTAATGCTGTACAAAAAATGCTAATTTTTAGGTCATGATATATAATTATTTATTGTAAAGTGTTATCAGTATTGTATTTTTCTGTCCTATGTTTTTATTTGTAAAACATATTTTGTTTCCCTTTCTAAACTAATTTTTTTTTAAAGTAATGTAACATTTTTAATTAAAAGCGATGCTGTCTACCACACATCTGTGGGCAAGTTAAGTCTTGTTTCAAGCAGACAGTGTCCCTAGTAAAAACACAAATTAGAAAAATGGTCATTTAAAATGGTTATAGGGACTATATTAGTCTCCTGGCTTTGTTAAAACCAAACCTGCGCCCTTGGATTAGACAACTGTGAAATCTATAAAAAATCTCAAATGCATAAATAATTTTATCATGAAGTGTTGCCAAAAAATTTTTTAATATTGCACAGACCTGAAATGTTTCTGGGCCATCTTTTTCTCTTTGTATCAGAAATGTGGATATGTCAGGAGATTTATCCTTCGGTAGAGGTATTGAGCGCAGACGGGAGCTTGTGAGGTCCCAGACTTTACCTCGAAACATTGGAGCCCAGACTCGCAGGTCCGTTTTTGAGAGGCTGGACACTGAGAACAACAGGTAATGGAATCAAATGCAAGTTTATGCAACCTTTCTTTTTAAAGTTCTGAATCATAAAAAAAACTCTTACATTGATCTTCCCAACTAAGTCGACCCAAGCCTGTGGATTCCAAACCAAAGCTGAAACGCTCTCAGAGTTTTGGAGTATCCAGTGCTAGCAGTATCAAGCAGATTCTTCTGGAATGGTGTCGATCCAAGACCATTGGGTACCAGGTAAGACATTCATGCATCATGGGATTTATCTCAAATCAGCAGAAAAAGGGGGCTTTGCACACATATAGTGTATTAAAACTATGATTTAACAACACTTCAGCCTGATAAGATGAGGATTGTCATGCATCACAGGGCTTCCTATACTATTATTTTAAGATTAGCACATTATGAAGTGTTATTCTCTCCATTAGCTTTAACGTATCAACTTTATTAGCATCGAAAAGAGAGTGAATGAACATTATGTGTGGTATTAGTGTTCCATATATTCTGCCTGACTCTAGTGCGGCTCTGCAAACCAGCCCATGTGGCTCTAGTTAGAGATAGTAATGTAATGGTCAAGCCTAATTTAGTGTCAACAGAGAGCAGTACGTAAACATGAGAAGCAGAGCAGACAGCTGACAACACGCATGACTGTTTCCATTTCCCTCAGTGACAGACAATGTCTGAGCCTGTCAGATTTGCCAGCTACGGATGAAAAATTAACACCATTAAATGATGAGGTGTACAGAAAATTCCAGTATATGAAGATAAGAGCCAGAGAACAATAAAATATCTGTTCTGACAGCCACAAGCACGTCTGCAGACTCTCAAAGAAAATTATTATTGTTCTATGTCTCTCGCTTACCCACGGTTTAAGATAAAATAATGCTAGAAGAACCTTCTTTTTCAAATTTATTGTTATTCATTATTATTATTCCCTTAAGATTTATTATATTCTTAAATTAAATTGATGAAAAAAATATAAATTCGGCACACTACTTCAAATTAAAATGAATTAAAATGCAAATTAAATGAAAATAAAAATGTTGGCAACTATCTAAAAATAAAGTTTAAGTTTTTGATATCTTGTTTTATTCAGTTAACGTTTATTTCATTTCAAGTAATGAAAAAAAATGGTTTTAATTTTAATTAAATATAATAACCCTATATATATATATATATATATATGTACCTACCTACATATATGATTCAGGTATGTGAGGCATAGTTATATTTTTATATATTTATTCAGATATTTTTTATACAATTATTTTGATGGAAAATTACAAAAACAGGCCATTTTTTTTTAATAACATACACATTTAAGAAAATATATGAAGCCGACTTTGACTTTGTGTTGAAGGGTATGGGAGCAAAACCTCAGTGCGCTGTGAAATATAATAGCTTCACTCTCTCCCATTCATCTGCAGAACATCGACATTCAAAACTTCTCATCCAGCTGGAGTGACGGCATGGCATTCTGTGCCCTGGTCCACTCTTTCTTCCCCACAGAGTTTGACTACAACGTCCTGTCCCCTGCCGACCGCAAACATAACTTTGAGCTGGCATTCAGCACTGCAGAGTAAGTCACTGGAATGGAGGCAATTCTGTTCAGCCTTTTCACAGTCGCATTGAGATGTCAACACACTTCATGGTGCCTTAACCTCTTAAAGTTGAGTAGTTTGTCTTACTGTCATCCCATCAGACACTGAAAAAGGTAGATGACCAAGAAAAAAAAATACACAATTAACAAGAAAAATTATATATTCACTGCTGTTCAGAACAAACAATTTTTTTACACTTTTATTCAGCAAGGATGCATTAAATTGATCTAAAGTGGCATTTATAATGTTACAAAATATTTCTATTTTAAATCAAATACATGTTTTCTTTTAGCATTGTTTTGACAAAAATATTAACTGTTTTCATCATTTTTAATAATAATAAAATAATAAATTATTTTAATAAATTATATATATAGACAGAAAACGGAAAAATAATATTTCACAGTATTACTTTTTACTGTATTTTTGATCAAATACATGCAGCCTTCATAAGCATAAGACTTTTTTTCCAAAAACATTAAAGAAATGTACTGACCCCAACATCAGTATATTTTTTCCATTGTGTTAAGGCGATATTCTGTCATTTTGTACTCAACCTCATATTATTTCAAACCCATAATGACTGTCAAGCTCCAAAATACACAAACATCTGCATAAAAGATTTAAAAAAACAGGTCATTCTTGTAAAAATCCCCTTTTACATTCTATAGAAAAATACAAATAAATAAAAGTTTGTAATGATATACGGGTGAGCAAATAACGACAGCATATTTATCTTCATTTAAAAGCTCTAATAAAGTATTAAAAGTCTTTAAATAGGAATAGACCGGACAGATGAGATGTGAACTTAGCGTGACCAGACCCAACAAGCTGAACAGAATGATTCCAAAATACAAGTTGACACAAATCATCTGCAGTTGTGCTTCACATCACCTCACAGTACGGCACAGAAGATAAAGTTACTTAGTTTCCGATGCGTCTGAGTCTAGGGTGTCCGTAAAGCGCACTTTAAACCACTAACGCATGCCAACAAATCCCTGTTGAGCTCAAAGGAGCCTCCCCTTCCCCTCGAACGGCTACTCCGACCTGACAGCCCAGCAGCATGACATCATGCTCCTGCAACTCCTGTGTCCCAATTCCCACATCCTGAAATATTCACATAGACCTAAAACTGCACTACCAACGTCATCTGAACATATGCATTACACTTATCATATTAACTGTAATAGTCAACGGACATGGAGAACGAATAAAAACAGCCATACACGTCCAGCCCTGTTAAATCTGCTTCTCTGTATTTCCAGGAAGAAGGCTGGCTGCGATAGGCTCATTGAAGTGGAGGACATGATGGTGATGGGAAGAAAGCCAGACCCCATGTGTGTCTTTACTTACGTCCAGTCACTATATAACCACTTGCGCAAGTTTGAGTGAGAACTTGGCCTCTTTAGCGCCAGCTGAACACTGCACTGTCCCCTGCTGGACAAAACTGAACTCTGACATAGTCACTATGGTATGGGGTTGCAAAATGTCTATGGGAGCCAACACCATTTCAAGCATGATGCTTCTGCAGTTGCATTTTAGTCAAGAAAAGGTCATCGACTATTTATACAGTCCTTCGAGGCATGGCTTTTGTGTATGGCATGCTCTTTTTAGAATGGTGGCCTCTGATTTATTACTAAACAGCTTGAAGTTAAAGGAATAGTTCAGCCCAAAATGAAAATGCACTTATCTTTATAGGCCATCCGTGATGTAGATGAGTCTGTTTCTTTGTTGGAAGTAGATTTGGAGAAATTTACTTCTCCAAATCACTTGCTCACCATTGGATCCTCTGCAGTGAATGGGTGCCGTCAGAGTTCAAACAGCTGATAAAAACACCACAATAATCCACAAGTAATTCACATGAATCCAGGCCATCAATTAACGTCTTATTAAATGAAAAGCTGCATGTTTGTTCGAAACAAATCCATAATTAAAATGTTGCTTTCTGCTAAAATATGAGTCTGTCAAAATTTTGCTTCCTCCAGTGAAAAGGTCATCTTGTCTGAGTCAGGTAAGAAATATGCATAGATTAAGCATCGTTTACAAGCGAAAGCAGTTCTAAACATGTATGTTGGTGGATTTTGATGTGAGAGGACAACAGGGGATGGACCTTTTCACCGGAAGGAAGTATTATCATGGATTATGGACTTGTATTTTGGCCAAAAGTGATGAAGTCAAGTTAAAATGCCTTGACGGATTTGTTTATCACAAACATGCAGCTTTATGGTGTTACTATAGACTGGAGTCATGTGGGTTATTGTGATGTTTTTATCAGCTGTCTGACGGCACCCATTCACTTCACAGGATCCATTGGTAAGCAAGTGATGTAATGCTAAATTTCTCCAAATCTGTTCTGATGAAGAAACAAACTCAAGGGTCAGTACATTTTTGTTTTTGGGCGAACTACTATTTTAATTTCAGTGGATTATAGAGCCATTTTATAGACTTCAAAGATAGAGACATAGAAATCTATTAGCGGATTTCATACTAATGAAAGATAGAAAGAAATAGAAATGTACAGAAAATAAGGTACAATATATCTTTTGTTTTCAAATAGACTGGCACATTTTTTTTATAACTGTCTTTTTTTTCTAATTTTCAGTGGCATAAAAGCATCATTTCATATGCCACCCTGAGCTGCACGTTTCTGGTTGTCATTTATACTGTGTTTCTGTAGCTTTGCCAAAGCTCAGACACACAGGTGCATGTGCAGGAAGTACAGTAAGCACTGGAGCTGCGTTATAACCAGAAATGCTATAAACCTGGTTAAACAAAGCTGGACTCTCAACAGTGAGCATCACCAGAGAGTGTGATATAATAAATGTTTTTTTTTTCTTTTGAATGCTTTTAAGTCAACTTAGTTTTTGAATGTTTTTTTTTATTATTTTCTTGTAAAAAAAAAAAAAAGACACTTTTCCACACAACATCTTGTGAGTCAGTAACAATCATAATAAACATCAAAGCACAAACCATTTACAATCATGTTTCATAGTTATAGGTGAAACAAGGAATAACACTCCTGTAGAGGACATCCAAATAAATTACGAACAAAGATAAACAAGACAACATGATCATAATGTACCGCCTAGTGTCTTGAGATCAAAGAAGTGGTTTTCAAAACCACTTAATTGATTAATTAATCTTTCGATTAATTCACAACTGTCTGATTAATTCTAATTTTGAGCATTTTAGTGTAAATGATTCCTTTGTAAAAGCCTTTTGACTGAATATTAGATCGAGAAAAACAAAGCAAACAGAAAGCAGTACAGTGAAAAACATTAATGATGACACAAATTTTTTTTTTTTAAATATTACAATATTGGATGATTTTAGTTGGTATCAGGGCTCTCCAAGTTCTCCCTCCATAGTCCGGACCAGAACATAAAGCTCAGCAAGACCAACAACAGATGCTGCAATCACTGCAGCTATTACTCTCTGAAAGAAAATACATACAGAGACATTAGAAATATGTGTTCAGTTCCAAAACTAACACTGTGCACTGATGGTGTGAATGCTGTGCGCACTTACCGCTGTTGTCTCGGTGAAGATATACTGGCTGCCCAGATATGAACAGGCAAATGCTGCAACTACAGTTACCAGGAAGTTGAATACAGTAACAACAACTGCCTTCACGGAACGCACTGCAGAACACAAATGACACGTAAGATGAACAAGACAGATGGGCATTAAAAATAAGAGAAAAGGGAACATCCTGACCTTGTCGTCCAAAATCTGCTAAAGTTCCATGATGATTCATTTCCTGTTGGGCAAAATATAAATGGCTGACAGGATTTTCAACAACTATAGAGCATGTGTTTGATATAAAGACTGTAGAGGAGTGTTTACCTGTGGATTTACATTCCGTGTTATTCTCTTATATTCTTCATTGGCAAGTTTTGCTTTAATTTTTTCTAAGCGGGCCACCAACTGGGGGTTCTGTTGGGTGGAAATAAATACAATTATCAAGCTTAAAAAACTGAAAAATATCATTTCTCATATTAATATAAATACAAAGAGTAATGAAATATTCTCACTTACCCTTGGAGGTGCGATAACTTCTGGAAGATGAAGTGTGCTGTCCTCAAACAGTTCATGAAGATACACTGGATGTCCTACAATTACATCACACTCAACTTATAATGTGCAATAAGTATCAAAACGTTTATAGAATGTGCACGTTTCTTACCATTTTCTCGAAGAAGCTTGTGTAGTTTTCTCACAGTCTTGAATGGTATGATGGACTGATCTGTCAGAGCCTTCAGTTCGTCCTTCAGCTCTTCTGACACGGCGGGTTCTTCCTCCAGCAAATCTCTCGCCTTCTCCCGAAATCTCTCTCCGATTTTAAACGAAGAAGCCATGATAACAAAGATGCCTGCTAAAGTTCAGAACACCTTAACGTGCGTTTAGTAGTATATATATATGTCTCAGTAATGTACCAGGTTATGTGAACACTAAATAGAAATGTAGCGGAAAGCAAAAAGGAACTTCCTCATTTAATGTATGAAATAGCTACAACTAGTCAAATTAGCGTCATAAATTATAAAAAAATGAAAAATAGAAAATATTCCTAACAAAACTTAGCGTTTAGTAGTATATATATATGTCTCAGTAATGTACCAGGTTATGTGAACACTAAATAGAAATGTAGCGGAAAGCAAAAAGGAACTTCCTCATTTAATGTATGAAATAGCTACAACTAGTCAAATTAGCGTCATAAATTATAAAAATGAAAAATAGAAAATATTCCTAACAAAACTTGACTATGTTGTTTCAAGTTAGTTATGTATTTTTATCTTAATTTAAGCATGTTTCCTGTTTAAAGCCCTACATAGCAGCTGATTTCTTCTTTAGTGTGTTTATAGGCCCGTTGCAAATCAACTGCACAATCGCACAGCGCCACCTAATGTCAAGGAACATATTCAGCCCTTTAGATTGAGGCGCAAAACAGATTTTTCTTCAAAAGTTTTCTCTTAAATGCAGTTTTTAAAAGGATGCTTTAAAAACAAAGTCAGTTATTTCTATAGGATATTTGTTGAATAGATTAGCTTTTGATATATTTTAAGCTCTTGTTCAAGAATCAAAAACAAGGGTTTGGATTTACTATATTTCCATTTGTTTATATAATGTTTGGCTAAAATAAAATGAATAATTTAATATTCTTATGTTTTATTTTTGGTGACAAATAAAACTAAATAAAACATTTTCTAGACACAGAGAAAAGATGGAGTCAGTATTATGACTTATAAAAACAGTCAAATCCAGTGTCTCCTTACATGACCACAATGCCGAAATAAATGAAAGCATGTTCAGCAAATGTTTTTTTTATTTGTTTTTTATAGAATTCTTGAAAAAACTATAACAATTGTCATTATTGTCAAATCATAACAATACAACAACAGTCCAGGGTCATTCAGTCTTTCAGTCCAGAGGAAGTGCCAAGTCCTTTAACAAAGCCATTGTTCTTAATGCTTTTAAGAGTGCAGAGAACTCAGTAGATTCAAAATATATTTTCATTTCAAGTTTGAATCTTAAAAAAGAGGTTTGCATTTAGAAAATTAACATTTATGAATATGATATTTAGCTAACAGGAAAATAATATTTATGAAATAAGTATCGCCTTTTTCACATTCATGAACACCAAAAATTACATAAGTAAACTCAAAATTAGGATTCACATAACATTTGATAAAATCAAGAATGTCACACAAAAATGACGTTGTGTAAGAGCAATTCCAGAATAAATGTAAAGAGGTTTCAGGGTTTTCTAAACAGAAAGAACAGTTGTAGCCTAGTAATATCATTCTTAAGTCTTTTAAGAGAGCACTAAAATCTATGAATTCAACTTAAATGTAATTTCCACTTAGTGACAGGAGATTGGAAAAGAAAAACCTCTAAAAAAATGTTCACCAAATGTACCACAAAAGGTTGGCCTATTTCATCTTCACAAATGTAAACTTACTGATTGTATGCCCAATTTTAGGATTTTTTGTATTGATTTGAAATTATTTTATGAATCTCTCTGCTCATCACTTAATAAGAAAACTGCTAAAACTACTGTATTGATGGAAAAAATATTGACTTTGGTGTAAGGGTTACCTCCTGTGTATTCTTTGAAGTTGACATTTTATGTGTAATTTTTAATTTAAGTTAATTTTTATTTTAAATTATTTATTTTTAAAAAAATGATGTTTAACTTTTTATTTATTCGTTTTTTTCTGTTTATATTTCGTTTTTATTATTCTTTATGTATTTATTGTTTTGTATTCTGGTTGTGTATGTATTTTATTGCTTTGACTGTATCCCCTGTGAATGTTATATCTTAAATAAAAAAATAAAAATAAAAAAAAGGAACAGAACGTTAGCATGACCTATGTGTAGTATCGACGTTTTCCGGTCGCAATGCGTTATGGGAAATGGTGTGAAAGTTTGTAATGTCCAATATTGCAATAATAGGGTAAAAACTTAATTAAGTCTAATTTCAAACTCGTGCGTCTGAATATTCCTGAATTTCACGCGCCTTAAATGTGATTTTTGGGTTTAACATGTATGATATTGACTATGTCCGTGCGTTCATGTGCAGATAGCTAAAGGAAGATGGCAGCGTGTGCATTACGTCGGGGCTTATTGTCCACTGCTAGTAAATATAACCAGCACAAATGCACTCACAGAATACTGAGTGCAATAGACTTCAGCAGCGGATTAGATCCGAAAAGAGCCCAGCCGTTGTGTTCAGTTTGCAGGTTGTCCAGTTTTCAACAGACGAGGTTCATGTCATCACGGTAAGAGCTAACGTTAGTAAAGCCAACGTCCTACCATGTCCTCCTGTTACATAACTGTTGTAGTTATAGTTGCAGCAAACAATTTTGACAGCAGATACCTTTACGATGTATCTGTGAAATGCATTCATGTTTATTAAGAATTTAATATCAGCTGTCATGTGTTTCATATTAGCTGTTGCTATAGTTTGAAGGGTTCACATGCTTGCATACCTGCAATACTACTGCCATATTGTTTCGGTGCTCAACTCTGTAGTTATACAGTTCACTTTATTATTATTTTTAAGTGTCTGGACGCCTGAATCTTGAATCAGATGTGTTGATGACACTATTTTTGAGTTGATTTTAAAATTCCATTGGAATAGGACAGGTACCAAAACACAAAATGAGGCCTACAAGAAGGACAAACCTCAGCCTTGCTTTCAAACCCCCCAAAGCCTTTCTTGATTACATAAGTGACAGTCTGGGCCTGAGCCTGAGCCAACAGACAGTAAACAAGTCCTATTTTTGTGGTCAGCATATGTCTGTCTCTTAAGTGCACCATGAAACTTCGATGTGGTCTGTGTCCAGATACTTTTTTCAGAATGTTGCGCAATATTCAACCTTGTTGACCACAAGTTGCTGGGATGTGTAATTCAATGGTGTCATCCACTATATATAAAAAATATATTTTTAAGTATATGTTTCAAAATATATTTTCATAAATTGGCCACTTTTACATATATTTTTTAACAATATTTTAAACATTTATATATGTTAAAAGACATTTAAAGTTAAAAATATTTAAAGACATTTTAAATTATATTTTGCTCTCCATATATTTCAATCCAAGAAAATACTTTCACACATGTAACGTTTGAAGAAAAACTTACTTTACAAGAAACATACTTTACAATGTTCAAAAAAATAGCAATATTACAATATATGAAAAAAATTAAATATTATTAAATCATAAAAATCTCAAAGTTATTTCTACTATTTGCCTGTAGGCTATTGTAAGATTGGAAATGTATTTTCTTGCCCCTGAAATATGCTGTATGGGATCCCAGCTATGGGATATTACAATTTACGTTTTTTTTAAACGGATTCATTCTTGGCAGAAACAGACCGGAGGGGAAAGTACTAGAGCCTGTTGGAGTATTTGAAGCTCTGAAGCAGCACGGCAAATATGAAACCGGGCAGGTCAGTGATCATTTTAATCACAAAACCCTTCATTCTGATTCCTCCTCTGTCTATATTCTAATTCTACATGTGCAATCCACAGCTATTCCTGCACAGTGTGTTTGGTTATAGAGGCATTGTGTTATTCCCCTGGCACGCTCGTCTGTATGATCGAGACGTGAGTCCTGCTGCTGCTACTGACAGGTATGTAGTAGAGGATTTTTTTAGGCTTATACCTGATTAAATGATTTAGTCTGTGGTACAGCTCAATGGTCCTGTTTGTCGTGTGCTTTTTCAGCAAGCCAGACTCCACAGGCCATGGCTCAAAGGAAGTGAAGGGCAAGATGCATACTTACTACCAGGTCCTCATAGACACCAGAGACTGCCCTCACATAGTAAGTGGCATGAAATTACATATGCAAATAGTGAATTAATGTAGTGTATGTATGTTTGTCTTGAATGACTTAATGATTTTAGTGAAATCATGAGTCCATTTTTAACCTTAGTGACTGTGTTTTTGTCACCATTAGTCTCAGCGATCTCAGACTGAAGCAGTTACGTTCCTGGCAAATCACGATGATAGCAGGGCCCTGTATGCAATTCCAGGTAACTCTCACAATCAGTCACATAAAGATTCGACTATCCTTAAAGGGATAGTTCACCCAAAAATGAAAATTCTGTCATTACTCACCCTCATGTCGCTCCAAACCCATAAGAACTTTGTTCACTTTGGAACACAAATTAAGATATTTTCGATGAAATCCAAGAGTTTTCTGACCCTCCATAGAATAAAGTTGTTATTTTAGTTTTCTTTGTGCACACAAAGTATTCTCGTAGTTTCGCAAAATTAGGGTTGAACTACTGATGTCACATGGACTATTTTAACAATGTCCTTACTACTTTTCTGGGTCTGGGAACGTTTCAGTTACATTGTTTTCTATGGAGGGTCAGAGAGCTCTCGGATTTCATCAGAAATATTTTAAAGGGGTCATATGATGCTTTTTTAAAGATCATTTGCGTGCACATTTGGGTGGCATTATGCAAATGTTTCCACATAGTGAGGTAGATATGTGGGGGCGTGTTAGAACGAGCCGTTTTAGGGGGGCGTGGCAGAGTCTTAACTTTGATAAAGAATATCTCTTTGGTTTTGAGACTTTAGTCTTTGCAACTTCAGGGATCTTATCTATGCACAATCAGCTTGTAACACTCCAAAGAGAAAAGAAAACTTGAAATCGCATCATATGACCCCTTTAAATTGTGTTCCAAAGATGACTGAAGGACTTATGGGTTTGGGATGACATGAGGGGGAGTCATTAATGACAGAATTTTCATTTTTGGGTGAACTATCCCTTAAATATAGTGGGCAGCATTTAAAAAAAAAAAGTTCCATTGTCTATTATTTTATTCATTTCGTCCTTGTCTGCTTATGTCTTTCAGGTCTGGATTATGTGAGTCATGAAGACATCCTGCCTTATAACTCCACTGAGCAAGTTCCTATCCAGCATGAGCTGTTTGAACGCTTCCTCATGTTTAACCCCTCCAGAAGTAACTAGTCCACTTATACTTTTGCAGCAGTATTCAAACTTTTACTGATAAAATGTTTCTGATGGATTGCATTTA